ATAGGAAAGTAGGTGATCGGCCTCCTATGAATAACACACGCCGTCGCCTTTTGGGTCTTAGGGAACGTTTCTTCACGATGTTTTCCTTCAATGTTAAATGCACATAGACAGAAATTCCATTGGTGCACAGCCGGGGATCGAACCTACGACCTTAGGTATGAGAGTCGCACGTCGAGGCCACTAGGCCAAGACTGCTCATACCTAATTATTAAACTGCCTTAAGGCAGGCAGACAATAATAAATAATTATTAATTATTATTTTCTATTACTATCGTAACTTAATACTAGTTTGCATGGGTTTATTCAAAGTATATCTAGTCTATATATATTAAATCTTCTTCAAGTAAATATCTATTAAGTAAATAAATTTGGTTTCCATTACGTAAACTTTTCAATCAATTGAGAGTTCAATTTCAATAAATTTAAAGTTGAACATTAATATTTCTTAGGCAAGTGGGAAAGTAAATTTTAGTAACGCTTATAATCGAACCCAAGAGAAAGCCATGAAGGCGGATACCTAATGGGTAAATACTTTAAATGGCTTTAGCGTCTAACTCTCATCCCTGAGGTCGTAGGTTCGATCACTGACTGTGCACCAATGGGCTTTCTTTCTATGTGCGCATTTAACATTTGCTCAAAGGTTGAATGAAAACTTCATGAGGAAACCGGCTTGCCTTAGACCCAAAAATGCGACGGCGTGTGTCAGGTACAGGAGGTTAATCATCTACTTTTCCATTAGATTGATGAATGACCATGAAACAGATAGAAAAATCTGAGGTCCAAACCTAAAAAATGTTGACTTAATTATTTATTTATTTTAATCGTTTTTGTAAGGCTTTTTAAATTTACCGATTTGCGTTCGTACACCGGCTATGCTGTATAGGTTTATCTACATGCGCTGTAAACGCGAAACAGATCGCATATGTCAAAAAAAACACTAAGATACCAATCGACACATGTCTAATTGCCTATAAAGTAAATCAAATAAACAAATACATAATTCTGAAGCCAAGACAAACGTGTTATAGTTATTCAAACGAAATAGTTTTTGCTTTACACATAGACATTACATTCTTTGAGTTACAGTTAAACCACGTCTTTTCATAATCGAACTTACCATAATAAAAGCGTAGCTCGAAGAATATTCTAAAAGCCAACTAAGATGACATGTGACATATTACTATTGCTTCGGAGGATTTTACTGAAGAAATATTTCGTTACGACATAACATAGAATGTTAGTATTAAGGTATACAAATCTGTAAACATTTATTTATATTATTCTCAAGACGCCAAAAGTGAACTAAACCTTTTAAGTTATTAATAATAGTGAATATAAGTAAGTGCGGTGTCTCGGACACACGAACATTGTGTCAAAACATTATAGAACACTAAGGGCCGGTTTTTTGATCCGTAGTTAACTCAACTATTGGTAAAAAATCGTTACTATTAGTTAAATATCAGCAAAATGCGTTTTTTGATCCGTGGTAAGAGCATCCAATGGTAAAATATCTAACCATTAGTCAAAAAAGTTAACTACTCAGTATCGGAGGGTTAAAAAGATGGCCGCTGGTAATTTATATACTAACAGCTGTTTGTCACAGAAATCAAACTATGATAAATACGTTTATTACTATCTAATGATGAATTTAAACATATTGAGATACTTTAATTAATGAGACGATGAAGAAGACGATAATATTATATGAGAATGTGTTAATGAGTGACCAAAAATATTTAGGCAATGTCATCCGCCATTAGAAACCTGGGATGATGTAGATTTTTGTCACTGTTACCCCTATCGAAGGAACAGTGCTCTGGATTGTTACTGAAATTGGGAATGATCTTAAACTGCCAATGAACAAGAGTATATATAGACAGCAGCTCATACCAACCTATTTTGCTTCATTACTAACTACAGAACCGCAGCAGTATATAATTAAGTATATTACTAATTCATTATGTGTTTTATTGCCTATAATATTAACTTATAATTATTATAATTAAATAAAATACAAGAACAAGAGTATATATAGACAGCAGCTCATACAAACCTATTTTGCTTCATTACTAGCTACAGAACCGCAGCAGTATATAATTAAGTATATTACTAATTCATTATGTGTTTTATTGCCTATAATATTAACTTATAATTATTATAAGTTAATATTATAGGCAATAGAATATATAATGAATTAGAGTTAATATTATTTATATATTACTAATAATATTAACTTATAATTATTATAAGTACATACAAGTATGTACTTATACTAAAAACTACAGCTACACATTAGTTAGGGACCTATGATATTCTTTAGGGCTTTTATTACATTTGTGAGTTAGCATCTATCTACTTTATTACAAGAATTTATAAATAAAACATTTGACTTGATTAATAAACTGTTTAATTATAACTTAAATACAAACCATTTTTATTAAAAAAACATTACAAAATTTACATGAAACCCTAAAGTAGCAATTAAATATTTTCTAATTGTTTCTTCTTGCATTTCACCTCAATTTGATGCAACTCTTTTGCTGCTACATATATTTATTGTGCCTTTCTTCCATCTGCTGCATCACTTTTTGGTGCACCTCCTCTTTATGCAGTATGAATTTTTGGTGGGCCTCTCATTGGTGCAGCAAATGTTTTTGATGCTCTTCTTAAGCATAATTGAACAAATCATCCTCTCTTATTTGTCTTTGTTTCTAAACTCAATTTTTTTTTATCCGTGTGGATCATAATCCGCTTCCTTGTTTCCAAAGGGTTAAAAGATTTTTTCCTTTTGTTGTAGGACACAGCTATACAAGAATAAATATAAAAATGTGCCTACACCTTCATTAAATGTATATTAAATTTAACACTTCGGTGTCTAGACCCATCTGAGTTGAAAACGTCACATAGATTTCCAAGCTGCATCTTTTTGTAGATTGCTGCAGTGATCAGTTGTTTGCAGGTTACGACTGTGTAATCCTTGAGAAGCATCACCAGTTTGGCAGTTTCTTTTTTGGCGAAGTTAGCAGTATGGTCCCTTTAACAAAACATAAATGTATTACTTTCTATTACGAAACACAAGATAAACCGGAATAAATAACACGAAAATATGTTTGAACTTACTTATTTGACCGTTGGCTGTTTGCGGACATCGTTATTTATATATTTAAGTATCGTAAAAAGTGTAAACCGTATTAAATCACAGAAAAACAACTTTATTTATATCGTGTTATTTAGATTAATTTGACACTTCAAACTCTTCAAAGCGCAAATAACGAATGAAGATGGCAAAATGGATTTCATTCACTCAATATGTCTAGTGTTGTCATACAAAATAAATGATCCCCACAAAAAAGAACCACATTTTTTGGGATGTCATTGCTCATTGCACTGGCAACAAATTGACAAATTGTTAACTTTAACTATAGTTAAAAAAGGCATTGAAAAACGCATTTACGATTTTACCAATGGTTATTCATTTAACTATAGTTAATGTAACAAATGGTAAAACCATTTTTTACTACGGATCAAAAAACTGGCCCTAAGACTATTAATGAATATTACCTTAGTTTAAGCTATTCACAGCATTGTAGAAAATTAAGTCAACATAATATGACTTATTAGCGATTGTAATTCATGTAAAGTCGTACTTTCTTTTGTGAACGTTGTAGGAACAAACAAATATAAAAAATATTATACTTTATTTACTTACATTTTTGTTACTTGCGTGGATTGTAACCGTCACTAAAATTGTATGCAAATTAAAGTATTACCTAAAATTTACTTCGGTCAATCTGATTAAAGTGGTGAGCCTACCATGACTTTGACTAATCCTACCACCTAAGATTCTGTATGTCGGGCTCTCACTGTTACTCTTGGTGGAAACATCTTGTAAACTTTAGTCCAGTCCAGTGTTTGTTAAATGTATCTAGTTATTTCTAATTTAAACGATAGTTTAATCAGATTTCAGCTAATATACCAAAATTTGGATTAATAACTAGAATTGGATAAAAAATAAAATATGTTTATTATGGAACATAAGATACATGTATCCCTTATTCCACGTCATTAAATTTGAAGGTATCCCTACTCATCGGCAAAGAAGACAGAGGGTGTAGGCCGAGAGAAAAAGCCGGCGTAAAAAACTCTCGGTACTCTTTTAAAACAGCAAATCATCAAACAACACTTATTTAAAACAAATATCGCAAATTAATTAGAAGTAGCCTGTCTAGCACTAGTCCCAGGCCCTTTTATCAACTAGATAATCGTTGACTTTATAGTAAGCCTTTTTACACAGCTTTTGTTTAATACATTTCTTAAATTTATTGAAAGGCAGTGATAAAAGAGCCTCTGGGATTTTATTAAAGAAGAGTATCCCTTTCCCCAAAAAAGAATTACTAACTTTAGATAGTCTAGTACGGGGAAATTGGATCATAACCTTTTATATAAATAAAAACTTAAAACTCTGTAATTATTCAAATATTATATTGATTGATAATCAACCAATGTGATGTTAAGTGATACTGCCGCCCATGGACACTAAATGGCAGAGGGCTGGCGAGTGTGTTGCCGGCCTTTTAAATTGGTACGCTCTTTTTTTGACCCTTAGTAGAATTGGTTTGGAAATATTTGTTTATCACAGACTCCAAACCAATAAGCATTATCTTGAAAGCATGAAATGAAATATTAAAATCTATGAAGACTCATCACACTAAATTGCATTTCAATTGCAGATCTGTTTGTACATCCATAACTTGAGTTCGTCAGGGGGCCAGCTTCGTTAGGCGAAGTGGCCAGTCGGATAAACTTGGCTTAAGATGAAGGCACTTCGTCACTGATTGATCGTCGGTTAAGCCAAAGATAGATTAGCTGTAAGTTACAGGATTTTGATAAGTCAGTTCTTATGAAAACTAGCCTTTACCTATCTCACCTTATGACTGAAATAGCTTTTACATGTTATTAAATTTCTCTCGTGTCATTGTGGTAAATCGTTTAAAAACATCATGATTAGCCCGATTTACTTAACTAGATTGCAAACAGGCATGAGGTTACATCTGATAGTGACTAGTGTGACGGACACTGTTCACTGCGAAGGATTACAAAGTACCGGCCTTTTACAGTTTTACGTGTATTCTTCAAGGACTCAAAACATCGTTTGGATTCAGTGTGCAGCCCGGGTAAGCAGTGTACGGCCCCGCATGGAGTACCGTTTTCACGTTAATGGTAAGCTTTTCAGCTTGTTCCGTATTCAACCTAGAGTGATTCGAATCATCGACGACTAGTCATTTTTGGCAGTTGCTAGAGATGTGGGATCTTCTGCATCCGTCTACCGCATTGACGATAAGAATGTTCTGACGCGCACCCGACCAATACCTGTAGTGAGATCATCTGCACTAGGCAGTATTAAAATACCATCCGATTCGTCTAGAGTCCTTCGTCCATGATAAAGCCAGCGTGCTCAGCCTTCTGACAGGCCGGCAGCGCGCTGGCGGTATCACTTAACATCAGAGGAGCCTCCTGCCCGTTTGCCTCCTGTAACATAAAAAAAGGTATGCGATTTCAATTGAGAATTCGGGTATTGTTAACTGAGCAGCTGACTGCTTCAAGCGCACTGGCAATTGACCACCGCAACGAAAACCGCAGTGAGAGGTAACGAAAAAGCATTAGTTTTATTTTAATCGCAAGGCACCAAAATCAACTCATTATAATTATTACATTTGCATATATTCTTGACGGCAATCAACGAAACACTTTACCTCGAAAGTTCATCAATTTTTCAATCTTAAAACTACATCAGTAAAAATAAAATCCGCTCCCTCTTGAATTTTAAGCTCTTCGTATTCCCGAAGCTCATTTACAATTTTGTCACAGAGTAAACAAGTTGTTAAAGAAATTGAAAGTGAATGAAAAGCGAAAATTATTTCGTCTACAACTGATTTATAGCGAACTAGCTCTGTGCATGTATTTGCTCACAATTCAATCGATTTGTCTTTCTATTATTATTAAGCAAGAGCAAAGACCATAGCCTTGCCGGAACTAGGTGGAGCTGGGCAGAATGGAGATTTACCATAGACAAGGGTCATGAACGTCTGTAAAAAATGACCTACAAATCGACAGAGTGTCAGGTACACAACACTGATCACCTAAAGTAGGCAAGTAGGTATTAAGAAATAAATGATCACAAAGAAAGACATCTAAGGTCAAAACTTGGAGGATGTAATTTGTTTTTTCTTATGTTCTTTTTTTTGTCTTTGTTTTTATTTTCAAGTCCAATCAAATATATATTTAATACCCAATAAAAAGGTTTTATTGTTTTGTTGAAGGAGTTTTTAGAGTTAGCATGTATAGAAGACTGATCCATTACCTTCTTGTTGATAAAATAATCTATGGTATTCTAGTTAATTTGCTGTTATTAAGATTTCAATATGTACAGAAAATATCTACCTCTTGTACCATTTTCTCTACGGGATTTCGATCGGATCTACTGCCAGTTCTTCTCTTCCGTTCTATGCCCTTGATTTGAGAACTGGCACTAAATGTAAAGTTAGAAGCATTTCATATACATTTCTTTTTTTGACGATCATAAGTGTACAATGTGTTACCTATATGATTAAATGGTTTTTTAATTTGAATTTAATTAAATTATATTCAATGTACAGACATACACAGTCTTTGACAATATGTAAGTTCTAAGTATTTGAAAGCTCAATGTAGTCTTATCGTAAAACTTAAAATCACTTTCACGAATGTCACTAATCATTAAATTCGTCTTTAAGCTAAGTTTACTCTTAACTTGGATTTTATCTTAACAAGGTAATAAGGTTTTATGAAGCTTTTATAGATAAGCTTTTAAACTTTTTTGATGTATAACTTGTGTTATTTTTCTAAAATCAGAGTAAATGGATTTGGCTCTGCCTATATACCTATGTTCCATGTATTTTATTTATACTTCTTCAATCTACGAGTATGTTCAACGTCCCACAAAACTGTTGTTACATTTTGAATGTGTGATATACATTTATTTATTGACATTCACACACACACACATTTATTATATCATATGATTAAAAACTTTAAATTAAATCGAGTATATATATTAAACTATATAATTTTTAGCTTACACTTGTAAAAAAGTTGTTTTAAAATATACATTCTCTAACAAGGTTTAGTATAAACTGCGTAAAAGCCTCAGCACGTGCTCAGGTCCAACCCTACAATCATCTCTTTGGATGTGTTCCAACATTCCTCCTTCACCCGACCAACGACCTACATATTGTGGTGACAATAGGGCTGTCAATTTACCCTTTTTATATAACCGAATCGCATTATCGACAATTTTATATTAAATATTTGTTATGAGTACGTTATTTACGTATATACGAGTAAATAAATTTATATATAGACGATACTATTAGTCCAATTTGTGATACACTCCTCCGTCGTAATTAGATGTAATTCCTCTGTACTAAATCGTTGGGTGTATGTTTTTAAATAGAATGTCTTATTAAATAAACCAACAGCGTAAAATTTTGGGTTGCAATTATTAAAATAAATTGATTATCGTAAGAAGTAAACTTTAAACATTCAAAAATAATAACTAACCTTAAAATATAATAACTAATATATATTATTAAAAGGAGTCCCTTTAGGCAAGGTTCCCAAGATACTGGCAGCGTTCCCCCTTTGAATAGCTAAACTACATCTATTCCGAGGTAGCTGCCAGCTCTTCGGTCTCCTGTGATGTCGACTAACCTTTTAGTTATTTCGTTAAAAAGCCTTATAGCGCTAGGACCCCACGGACCAAGGGTCTCGACACCGAATGGGACAAAATCATATTCGAAGCCTAGACCCCTGTATTTGCATGTTTTAACGTAATGATATCTATAATATCACCAGTGCCCTCCTTTTCATTTAATTAAGTTCAATTTTTATATTGTAATACAACGAAGTGTTAATAAATAATTAAATACATATTCTGTGTTAGAAAATTCGTTGCTTCAACAAATTACTATACTCCGATTACGATTTTAGGTAACATTCTGTATATTGTTGAAAATTGCGTTAATTTTTTTTAAACCAAACTACTAAAGTATGGCAACCCTGATCTAGAAATCCTTCGCCTAGAGAAATGCACTAAATTATGTCAAAAACTACACTGTCGAAGTGTGAACTTATGAGTAATTGAAGTTTAAAACGAACGTTACGACGTCAGTGGTAGCATATCATCATTTTGCTATCCCTAAACTAATTTAATCTTCGCTTAAATCTCAATTGAAGGGGTATGACGGGCGCAGAAGCCCATAAAATAAAAGGCTAATTACCCATTATAAAACGGTTAGCGACGTTATTTTTTTATCCAGGTATCACAAATACCGTGTATACATATATAATCATATAGGATTTACTTGTGAAATCCCTGGTGATATACAAAGGGATATAATCCGGGATGGATTCACACAATCTCACTTTTCTATCACAATGCATTTGTTATAATGATCCCAAAATGTATCATTAATAATAATTATTACAATTAAGTTTTTATTTCTTATCAATAATTTCAAACTGTTATTATGTAGTAGTCAATTTTGTGTTTAACTTAAATTAATTGCAAAATTATACACAAGTAAAAGGTTAATACTATTTGTTAAATTACATAAAAGAACTTCAACAAAAACTCATTTCATTATAATCAAACATAAAACAATTCTAAATATTGATATAAGAAAAAGTACGTAACATTTTCATATTATCAGAAACGCCGGAAGCCAAACTAGCCGTATTGAATATGAAAATGGAGCAAAAGAAAACATTTTATGAAAATATTCAATATGAATGACAAGGGTTCGAGCTATTATTACGTTGAAGCTACTTATAACTTATATAAAAACTTCTAAGAATATTTATTGTTAGTCGATGCGACATATACATACAACATAGAAAATTTAAATATGTGAATTTTAGACATTTATCTGTAGTTTCTAACCAGCTGTTAGTTTGTTAACGCAAACAATGTTAGTTTAGTCGTTCAATCGAACTTAAACCTGGGCGTACGTTTTAATTTCCGACTGTACTAAAGGATTTCTTTTTAAAGTGTGTATTGTATGTATTTTTTTGTAATGGCTTTTATTTGTGCCAACTGGGCACAAGGTACTTCGCCAGTGTCGTGTAGATGGAGAAGGCACGAAGGAGATTGATCGGTGAAAATAATAATTAAAAAAAGTTGAAATTCGATTGTTAAGACAGCATAGACAACACAAATATGAGTAATTAATAACATTATTAAATACCTACTATTTCCTATTTACGAATAATTTATAATATATATATTACACTTTAATTTTATTGCTTTCTATATATTTACATAAAAATCTACAATCTGGACTAAACACAAACATTTAACACTCAAAGGACGGGGGAGTTTAAGGGGAAGAACGTCATAGAGAGGATAGGTTAGTTTGGGACAATTAAATAGAATGTGAGATACAGTGCCTTATGTATGAAAAGGAAAAGATGTTGAGGAACGTCAAAATGACAGTCATAGAAAGCTTGATCTTCCTGTCTATAAAAAATATCAAAGGACCAGACGCCACTGCATGGAACTATTAAAAATAATAGAAATATTTAAACTACTAGCAGACTCGGCCAAGCGTTGCTGTGGCTAAGGTTTTTGTTATATTACATAGTAGTAAACTATTCAAGGGAAACGGTAAGAGAACACCACCATGCATTTTTAGTGGTTATGCCATTAAATTGTAGCTTATGTGAAACGTTGGTACTTTCAACCGCGCCATCTGTTAGAATTGTGACTGTCAATTAATAAACAAATAATTTGCAATAAAATAATATAGTGGATATAAATTTAGATGTAAGCTTATCTTTTAAGTTAATAAAACTGCACACGGTGTGCAAATTTGATGGAAATCGGTTAACCCCTTCGGACCTACATTAAATATTGACGATATAAAAATTATTTTTGTATGTTTTATTAGCTCATTTGTTAAAAAAATATAATTTTCCTTTTATAGTTTTTTAGATGTTTATAGATATATTGTATGTCCACTGAAATGGACGTCAGGTTCTTAGTGTTGTTTCTTAATGATGTGTACTCGGATTTATAGTACTAAATTAATATTAAATTTAGTACAGAACGTTACTTATATTGTCTTTAACATGTATTAAATATAATCATTCAAATTATTTTATAGCGTCAGCATAAATAATTTAAACGCGTTTCAAACCGTTATGTTTTTATTTAGAATGTTACTCTTTATCGCAATGGATAGGTTATTGAATAAAAAAACTATGTATCAAGGAATTTTTTTGTTACTAACACACTTAACATAAATTAAGATTTTTGGTGAAAAATACGGAAACAATTTAGACACTAGTGAAAGAGATGTATTGATTTGAGGCAATAAACATGTGTTTTGTGATTTTTTAATAG